AGATGAGCTGGAAAAAAGAACTGACAGCGATTGATAGGATGGCTCCATTGGCCTTGGAGGAAACTGGGGAGGGGCAGAGTCAGCACAGGCAAGGCCTGCAGACAGGGAGAGCTCAGAAGTGTCCCACCCCCTTTCACAAGGCACACCTGGAAACTGAGATGTAAGGAGGTGCTGGTGGGAGGGGCATTTGTAGGGAACAAGCGTTGAATGTGTGAAGCCTCGTGTGTGCTTGCCAACGCCTGGACATTGCTGTACTGTCTTGTGGGGCTTGCCAGTTTGCCTGCTTCGCTGAACTTCTTGCTCTGGTTTCTGTTTAGCTAACCTGGCTTATTGGACTGCTGGCCCTGGTTAATGCTTGGTTAACCTGGCTTAATGGACTTCTTGCAGCCAGAGGCTCCTGAAAGTGCATGTGAGAGCTTTGCTCCAGGATTTGTAGTGAACGTGGGAGTGTTTGGGGGCAATAAAGGGGAGTTAGAACTGTTCTCTGGTTGTGTTGCTTTCGTGCCATGCTCCAAGTCATCACAGCTCTGCTCAAGCAGGACACCCTCTGCCATTTCAGACGAATAGCTGTCCGTGCTCTTCTTAAAAGCCTCCAGTGTTGGAGCATTTACAACTTCTGGAGGCAAGCTGTTCCACTGCTAATTATCCTCACTGTTAAGAAGTTTCTCCTTAATTCCAGGTTGCTTCTCCTTGATTAGTTTCCATCCGTTACTTCTTGTCTTGCCTTCAGGTGCTCTGGAAAATTTGTTGAAACATCCCCCCCCCTGCTTTGTGGGGCAACCCCTTAGATATTGGAAGACTGCTATGTCATCCCTATTCCTTCTTTCATGCCACTACACAGACCCAATTCCATCAACAATTCTTTAACAAGCATTTTCAACAGCTCTGCCACTGACGGGCATACATTCAATCCATCAACAGTAAGAGCACATCAACTGCCAAGTGTGGGACGCCTGTGTTTCTTCATGGGGGATTAACATATTGTTGGTTGTTGCTACAACTGGAAGGGGCTGGAACAGTGTTTCTCCCCAAATAAAATGCCTCGAGGGTGACAGAAAAGGCACTCAAGAGAAACATGGGAACCTTTCCTAAGAACTCCGTACAGTACCTGTTTTGGATTCTCTGACATGTTCCATTAAGTGACGGGTGTTTACACCAAGGTCATGGTAGTCTCTGCGGCGTCCACCTCGTTCTCCCAAGCTCATTTCTTGAAAGCCTGCTGAAATCTTAAATTCTGTAAAGTAGAGGAGAAAAAAAAAATCAGTCATAATCTGCATCTGTGGTTAATTCTTGGACAACTTGCCTTCTAACTCTATCAGACAAGTGGACTGCTGTTGCTAAAGATGATCTAAAGTGACCCACTGGGGATGACATAGAAGTAAGAAACCCTGATCAACTGGATCACAAGACTTGCCTCTTAGCAACCCAGAGAGGAAGCACCATATCAATTTCATGGTGTTAGGTCAGCTCCTACAGCTGCTTCTTATAGGGAGGCATTAATAAAGAGATCAACAAATCATTTCTAAGATTACCATCACTGAAAGGAGAGGTATGGGACTCCTATCAGATTGGTTTTTTTTTTTTAAAGTGTGCTAAGATTGATAGAAGAGAATATTTGTAACTCAGGGCTGAACTGTGGGGTCCTTGGTATTCTCTTAGCTTGGTGGTTTTCTTCCAGATGTTTCATTACCCAACTTGGTAACATCATCAGTGCTAGAAGGGAGTGGGATTTAAGGAGGATGACGACTGTGCCATGTCCCGGGTGTCCTACTTGCAGATTTCATTACCCAACTTGGTAACGTCATCAGTGCTAGAAGGGAGGGGGGTTTGCGGAGGGGGGGGAAGGAGGAGGAGGACGATTTGGGATCCTTGGTCCTGAGCCTGGCTGCTTTCCTGTTTTATTACCAAAGCAGGCAGTGCATGATGGTTTAGACTCCTAGATGAATATATACAGCACCCTAGGAATCCAACCCACATAAAGGCAGCAGACCAAATAAACAGCTGAACCACCATCTTATTTCTATTTCAGCAATGCAAATTCAATTTTGGTTTGATTCCAGGAACATGGAGAGGATACCTGTCTTTGAGCTACACCAATCCTACCTTCCGATTTCGCAGCCGGGGGTCCTTTTTGTTGGCCATGCCCAACCTGAGCTCCATTTCCTGCTTCCGCTTGCCGCGCTGGAGGCAGCTGGGGAGTTATTTGGCTGTATCCAGGCGCAGTAACCTAGAGGAGGCAACGTAAATTTAAAAGGGGGCTGTTCAATATGGAAAGACAAACATTATGGGAAACATCACAGACCAAAGAGGTCACGGAAAACGAGAATTATAATTCTCATCATTTCACTGAACAGGCTAGCTGGGCCTTCTTGGATATCGGTGATCAGAGAAGCACCAGTAGCCCCATTCCTTTTTAAAAAGGTTTTTAAAATTTTCTCATTTTTTAAACTTACAGGAGTTGGCCCCACTGTAGAGAGGGTTGCTTCTTGACCACGAGCTCGCCCCCTCGCCCGAGACCTTGCTCTTGCTCTCCCAGTCATTGTCTCACTGAATGAGCTGTAAAGGCAGACAAATGTGTTGTTTTCATTCTTTTTTCACATTTCCAGGGGTAAAAAAATACAGCCTATTTTAAATTGAACCCATTTCCAGTTCATCTTTCCCAGCAATGAGATTAATCAATATGTCAGGGGAACCTTCTCAATGTTTAGAAAAGGCTAAGATGACCTCAAAGATGTCCCTCTTAGCACAGAAGTACTGTATAAGCCAGGATTTGAGGCACATCCTGGCTTACGGTTCCCTTATAGTTAATTGCAAGCCCCAACTAATCCACAGGATTTCAGAATTGAGCCAGCAAGATCCAAAGTAGGTTTTATGCAAAGCTAAAATTCCAAGCTTGATTTTTGAAGCTAGGAGGGACTCCCAATTGTTCAAACTGGATTTAATCTACAGCATTTATTTAAACTAGTATCAAATGTTCGATTTGGTATGAGCCAATCTGGAGGCATCAATCCAGACACCCATAAAGGGTAGTAAATAAATATGCAACAGACGTATTTGAATGGCGACATGGACTTTTGCATTCCATATAGTGCAATTCTAATGTGGATCACACAGAGACACACAAAAGCAAAATACTGGACCACGCCCAACTAACATTCTTCCCTTTTGGACTACAACATTCCCAAACAACTAGGATAGCTCATTATTTTTTAAACAATACTCTTCATTTGTCTTACGATATATCCCTTGGTTAAGCCTTATTATCTCAGTAGGAGAAAGACCTATCTTTACAAAGATACTTTAAATACATTCTTCACTGCACTGTCTAGGTAAACAAAGCCCGTTTTCAAAAATATACACAAAATAATTAACAATGTTAACTTCCCCAAAGAGAACAACAGTAAGTGGGAACAACTACCACTTACAGCATTCCTCCCAATAATTCATAATTTGTGTGTGTTGGAGGGGCGGTTTCTCACTTTTCTCATCTCTTTTTTACAGATACACACCCGATTTAAGATTATCCTGAATGAACCTAGTTTGATACATTTAATAAACCTAGTTTGATTCATTTAAGCCATTAATGACATGATAAAGACTATAGAAAATACTAGGATAATTAAAATATTAACTCAGTCATTAGTGACCCGTTGAATTAAACAATGAACTAATGAATTTTAGATTTTAGGCATCATTGTAAAAAAAGTTTGCTCATTTATTTATTTATTTAAAAATAAAGCTATTGTTCACCAATAGCAGAGTCTTACAAATACTAGAATTACTAAGCTATTAAACTCACTCATTCATGACCCATTAACTAAATTGTTAAATAATTAACAATGTTAACCAACCCAATGAGTTAGTAAACCAGAATAACAATAAGTGTTTGTTTGCTTGTTTGTTAGTAACTAACAAACTAATGAATTTTAGATTTTAGGCATCATTGTAAAAAAGTTTGCTCATTTTTTTTTAAATAAAGGCTATTGTTCACTAATAGTCTTAAAAATACTAGAATTACTAAGGCATTAAACTCACTCATTCATGACCCATTAACTAATTTGTTAAATAATTGACAATGTTAACCCCAATGAGTTAGTAAACCAGAATAACAATCAATGTTAGCATGTTTGCTTGTTAGTAACTAACTAGTAACTAACAAACAAGAATTTTATATTTTAGGAGAGTTGTAAAGTCTTTGCTCATTGAATAGTAGGGTTCCCCCAACTTTTTTCTGTTATGAGACTATTTTTAACAAATAGAAACATAGTCTTGAAAACACTATATTATTATTCATTTGCAAGTTTTCCTTTTTTCCCCTTTTTTTGTACACACAGGTTGCAAACACACATCCTTTTTGCTTCTTTTTAAAAAAAATTAAGTTGAGCTTAATTGAAGCTATTTTATGGGAAAACCGTCTAGCAACCTTTTCCTTATATTTATTATTCATAAATATATTCACAATCATGTTTATACTTATAGCTGTTATTTTATACATGCTTGACAAATAAATAAAATAAATATAAAAGCATTAGAAAAATATATTTTTTCTGGAATATGTTACTTATTATATTAGATATTATATATTACTATATAATATTATATATTATATTATATTACTATATAATATATATATTATAAAGAATAAAATAAGTTAAAATTGGGAATAAAAAAAAAACAGGAAACAGCCAAGGAATAACCAGAGCGATACCGTAGGAGGCTTTTAATAAAATAAAAATCAATGAAAATAAAGCACTAACCAAAGAAAGCTTCGAATAATTTAAAAAAAGAAAAAAAAAAGAACGAATAATAAGCACAATTTTCAAACGGCGCTCGCTTTTCCCTCCAACGGTAAAAAGAACCGCCTCACCCGAAAGGATCACTCCGCGCTCTGGATCACGTCACACGACTTGGTTTCTTAAAGCGGAGGCGCCGCGGAGGACTATTTTTTCTCACCACCGCTCTCGGAGGGAGACGGCGCGATGCGTCCCTCGTGACCGTTGCTTCGAAGAGTGCGCTGGGCTCCCATTGGCGGAGCGGCGTCTCGCGCGCTTCCTCCTCCTCCCTCCTCCTCTTTCCCCCTCCCCTCCGGACGGAGACTCGGAAGCTTCCGAAGAAGCCCGAAAACTCCCGAAGGCTTCTGTATAAACCAAGGTAAGTAACCTTTTGGCTTACACAAATTGTTGCTTTTTTTTTTTTTTAAATAATTTTGGAATTCGAGGAGGATGAAACTGCATTGGATTCCAGGGAAGGTTTTTGTGCAGAAATTGCACGGGTTCCTGCTTGAATAGGGGGTTGGACTAGAAGACCTCTAAGGCCCCTTCCAGCTCAGTTCTGACTGACTGATAGAATTAAGTGGAAAATACTTCAGGGATGTTTGGCTTGTATTATTAGGTTAATTGCAGGTACACCTCGACTTACCCCCTCACACAATGGAGCCCAAATATATTTTTTTCTTGCTATGTGAGACCTTTTAAAGTGAGTTTTGCCCCGTTTTATGACCTATCTTGCCACAGTTGTTAAGCGAATCATAGATGAGAAATGAATATGGCAAAAAGGTAATATAGAAACTCTAAACTTAATTGAAATGGACTTTTTTTTAAAAAAATAGATGAAACTCAATTGAAATGACTAAACATTGTTTAAATTTGTGAACCGGCCAAATACTCTGTTCAAAGAAAATACATTGTATGTTTTTGTATGTGTGTTTGTCTAAAAAAATAAAAAAAAACCTTTTTATTTTTTTAAAAAAAGCAAATCATTGCGGTTGTTAAGTGAGTCACACGTTGTTAAGCGAATTTGGCTTCCCCGTTGACTTTGCTTGTCGGAAGGTCGCAAAAATGGAGTCATGTGACCCCAGGATGCTGAAAACCGTCGTAAGTTCATGCCAGTTTCCAAGCGTTTGAATTTTGCTCATATGACCACGTCGTGAGGAAAAAAGTCCCTTTTTTTCCAGCGCCGTTGTGACTTGGAACGGTCACTAAACGAACTGGTCCAGGGCTACCTGTATGAGTGTTTTTGGCTTATTTTAGTGTTATTTTGCCTTCAAATTTTTGCCTTCGTGGTGTTATTTTTGTAAATTTAGTGAGTGGCGTTGTTTAGAGAGCGTTGTGACATTGTTACAAAAGCCAGAGGTCATTTTTGTTTGGTGTAGTTTTTTTCTGCACTTGAATTGGTTTAAGTTCTTTTTTCTTAAGTTTGTATTTCAAGTTTTGATGTTACGGTAGTTCTACATCAAGTCTTCTGTAAAACCCAAATGTCTTTTTTTTTAATTTTTTTTTATTGTTTACAGATAAATATATTGAATAATACAGTGCAATTGTCCTGGCGTTCCACTTGCCATGAAACAAAGGTAAAAACAAACTAACATATATACTATTTTAAACAGTGCTTGTTCTGTACAGTAATTTCTGACCATCATACTCTAGTACAGTGATGGCTAACCTTTTTGCCCTCACATGCCAAAAGTGGGGGGAGTGTGGAGAGGTCACGCATGCGCATGCCCACACCCATAATTCAATGCGTCCTGCCCCCACATGCTCCGCGCGCTTTTGGCACATGATGGCTCAGTGGGCCCGTTTTTTTGCCCTCCCCAGGCTCCAGAAACTTTCTTGGGCCTGGAGAGGGCAAAAACAGCCTTCCCTACCACCCCCAGAGGCCCTCCGGAGGCCGGAAACAGCCCATTTCCCAACTTCTGGTGGGACTGGAAGGCCCATTTTTCGCCCTTCCCAGGCTCCAGAGTCTTTCTAGGAGCCTGGGGAGGGCAAAAACAGCCTTCCCCAGGGCCCCGGAGGCCCTCCGGGGGCCGGAAACAGCCTGTTTCCTGACTTCTGGTGGGCCCAGAAGGCCCAAAAATCAGGTGGCCGGCGCGCACATACGCACTGGAGCTGAGCTAGGGCAAGGCTTGCGTGCCCACAGATATGGCTCCGTGTGCCACCTGTGACACGCGTGCCATAGGTTCGCCATCATGTTCTAGTATGTCAGCTAATTTATCATTTTAATACCTACATAATGTCTCTTTCCATATCCACCTAACCTGATTTTTTCGCATTCCAACTTCTACCTCGTGTTTCTAACCATTGGTAGAATCTATTCCAGGTAGCATAGTATTCTGTATCTCCTTTATCTTTTATTTTCAGCATTAGTCTGTCCATTTCCACACAGACTAATATCTTTCTTACCGTTTCTTCCTCCAAAGGGGTGTTTTCGCTCTTCCACCGCTGAGCATACACAATTCTTGCTGCGGTCAAGATGTGTAAAATTAAGTATATTGTCCCTTTATCATAACCATTTGATATAATACCTAGTAAAAATAATTCTGGCTTAAACTCTATATGTTGTCTGGTCAGTTTTTCTAACGACATATGCATTTGTATCCAAAATTTCCTTGCCTTTATACAAGTCTACCACATGTGGTAATACCGTGTTTCCCCAAAAATAAGACCCTGTCTTATATTTTTTTGAACCCCGAAATAAGCACTTATTTTCAGGGAGGTCTTATTATTTTGGGGCACATGGAGCAAGATGGGGCTCCTCTTGCCATCTTACCTGATTTCCAGATCTGCATTTAAATATTTTCAGGCAGGGCTTATTTTCGGAGGGAGGCTTATTTTAGCGCATGCGCTCAAAAGCCCGATTGGGCTTATTATCAAGGGATGTCTTATTTTCAGGGAAACAGGGTATGTGCCAGGTATTTGTTTACATTTCCAACAGTTTGGGGACTGTAAAACCCAAATGTCTTATCTTTTTTATTGACTTAAGTAGATAACTCCCGATTATGATAAATGGTACTAGTTGGACAAATGATAGAATTATAATAATTAGCTGGACAATTAATAAAGTATAATTAGCGGGATAGGTTAATATGATACATCATGATAAATCGTGGATGCTCCATCATTTGAGACTTTTAGGAAGAGCCCTTTGTCTGAAATGGTATAGGGTCACCTGCTGGAACAGGGGGCTGGACTAGATGACCTCCAAGGTCCCTTCTTATTCTGTGGTCTGAAATGCCAACTCTGCTTGCTTTCTCATCCCCACAAACACAACCACAAACACACAGGCAGCCTTCTCCCAAGAGCCTCGGGAAAGATCTGTGAATGTCTGTAAAATATATTGGAATGGTAGAAGGTCTCTCCTGCTTGAGGGCTGGACTAGAAGACCTCCGAAGGCCCTTCCAACTCCTGTTATTCCATATGCTATAATTATCTGGGTAAAGCAACGTAAATTAGGATAACTAGGTGGGTAAATGCCATTATGATAATTCGCTGGGTTTTCGGACCTTGTCAATGTAGTTTTGGATATTTTGAATAGTTGAATAATCTCAGTTCTGTTGTGCTGTTTAACGACCGCCATAAAGTCAGGCATAAAGTCACTTCTGTCCAGCCAGACAGTTCCATGGGTCTCCCAGCAGAGGGCAGAAAATCTCCAGAAATCTTTCTTGCAAGCTGGAAACCTCTGAAACTCAGATACTGGTCTTTGCTGTTCCTGGATTTTGCGGAAAGTTTGGGTCCCCTAAATCAGTGGTGAAATCCAATTTTTTTTTACTACCGGTTCTGTGGGCATGGCTTGGTGGGTTTGGTGTGGATTGATGGGTATGGCTGGGTGGGCATGGCAGGGAAAGGATAGTGCAAAATCTCCATTCCCACCCAACTCCTGGGGGAAGGATATTATAAAATCTCCATTCCCTCCCCACTCCAGGGGGAAGGATATTATAAAATCTCCATTCCTTCCCCACTCCAGGGGGAAGGATATTGCAAAATCTCCATTCCCACCCCACTTCAGGGAGAAGAATATTGCAAAATCTCCATTCCCACCCAACTCCTGGGGGAAGGATACTGCAAAATCCCCATTCCCTCCCTACTCCTGGGGGAAGGATATTATAAAATCTCCATTCCTTCCCCACTCCAGGGGGAAGGATATTGCAAAATCTCCATTCCCACCCCACTCCAGGGGAAGGATAGTGCAAAATCTCCATTCCCACCCAACTCCTGGGGGAAGGATACTGCAAAATCCCCATTCCCTCCCTTCTCCTGGGGGAAGGATATTATAAAATCTCCATTCCTTCCCCACTCCAGGGGGAAGGATATTGCAAAATCTCCATTCCCACCCCACTTCAGGGAGAAGAATATTGCAAAATCTCCATTCCCACCCCACTCCAGGGGAAGGATACTGCAAAATCTCCATTCCCACCCCACTCTGGGGCCAGCCAGAGGTGATATTTGCTAGTTCTCCAAACTGCTCAACATTTCTGCTACCTGTTCTCCAGAACCTGCTGGATTTCACCCCTGCCCCAAATCTGCTTTCCAATTGTTAGCCAGTTGCTGCCTTCAGAACTAGCCGGAAGCTTATTTCAAGGAGTTTCTCTTCAGCCGGTGCCTTTGCTGTTTCCTTTTCCAGTTTTAAAATTAAATGTTTAATTTTTAAGAAACAGCAGCTGGGCCCTGCAAGGGAAGGGTCAGCTTTTCTGCACCCATCACTTCAAATAAGGGCTGGTCCCTTGTTGCTTTTTTTCCCAAAATTCCTTGTAACGGTCCAAAATTCTTTGGAATAGATTTAGGGGCAGTTTTTAGGGGGCGACAGGAAAGAAACAGCTTTTCCTTCCAAAAGCTCAGGATGTTTGTTTGTTTATTTGCATCCCACCTTTATTATTTTTAGAAATAACTCAAGATGCAAATGTATTCCACACTCTTTTCCTTCTGCTATTTCCTCCCCCCTCCCACCGCAACGACAACCCTGTGAGGTGGGTCAGGCCAAGAGCTACAAAATTGCATAAGATGGTGGTCCCTCTTGGCCGGCACAATTTTCTGATTTTTGCAATTCCCAGGTGTCGGTTTATCCTGTTTATATAAACTTTTCAAAGTTTGGCTTTATTGATTTATTTATTTTCAGCATTTCCGGTTTCCTTAACGTTCCCTTTTGCTTTGTTTTCCTTTCCTTCCTGTTCCTTCCCCCCCACTCCTTCTCTTCAGGCTTCTCTTGGAGAAAAGGTTGTAAAACCCACGTTTAAAAATGAACCTCCAAGGGAGAAGCTGAGGAGAAGTCAGATCTGTAAAACTGGCTTCTGGTGATTTGCTCCCCTGAGGCTCATTTTTTAAAGTCCTGGTTTTCACAACCTTTTGATCAATGGCTCTTCAAAGCCATCTGAATGCTCCTCAATCCTCTTAAACTGTTAAGCTGCCAAAAGTTTTATTGACATGTTTATTTATTAAATTTATATGCTTTCCATCTCACCGCTGTAGCCACTCTGGGCCATGGATGAAATCCAGCAGGTTCTGACAGGTTCTGGAGAACCGGTAGCGGAAATTTTTGAGTAGTTCGGAGAACCGGCAAATGCTACCTCTGGCTGGCACCAGAGTGGGGTGGGAATGGAGATTTTGCAATATCCTTTCCCCAGGAGTGGGGAGGGAATGGGGATTTTGCAGTGTCCTTCCCCCAGGAGTGGGGAGGGAATGGAGATTTTGCAGTATCCTTCCTCCAGGAGTGGGGAGGGAATGGAGATTTTGCAGTATCCTTCCCCTGCCACGCCCATCAAGCCACACCATGCCCATCAAGCCACGCCCACAGAACTGGTAGTAAAAAAAAATGGATTTCACCACTGCTCTGGGCAGCTTACAAAATGATACCCAGTTTTCTGGAAGCAACATTTGAGGGGTTGAGTGTGCAAAAATATCAAAGCAAAAAAAAAAAAAAAAACAGCTGGGTTTTTTTTTCCCCCACAGGATACATGAGATAAATTTATCCATCATGCTGGATTTCTGCCAAGTCCTTCACTTTGAGGGCTGGATTCGCAGATTAGCCCCGGATCTAATCCTAGAATAAATTGTGATCATTTTATTACTATAATTAATTTTTGCAGAGGATGCTTTGCTTGCTCTGGTTTCTATGCCCACGTTCAAGAATTTTTAAGCCTAGAACCGGTGGGTGAGATAATGGGCGATGAAGGGCGTTTGTCAAAACAGTTGCGTAAAACACAAAGGCTTTTGTTTAAACAACTTTGAAAACAAAACCTTACTTTTTGGTATCTTTATTTTGAAGAGTCAAAGGCACAAGGCTGGATCTGAACAGCAGCCCTTGCTAGATTTAAGAGAATTTTAAATCTGGTTTCAGTCCATTTTTTTCTTCTTCTGGTTTTATCACCTTTTTTTTAATCAATATCTCTTAAAAACCATCTGCTTCCTCTTCAATATGCTTTAAAAAGTTTTTTATTTTTTATTTGTTTACAAACATTTCAAATCAATGCATGAACAGTGTGGTATCTGAGTGTCATAGAATAGGATAGGATAGGAGATAGGATAGGATAGAATAGAACAGAATAGAATAGAGTAGAGTAGAGTAGAGTAGAGTAGAGTA